GGCACCACGCGACGGCCGATGTGGCATGAGTTTATTTGTGTATGTGCAATTCATGGTTGTACTTGGGCTGGGATACTGCCAGGGCGCCCACACCTAGACAGGAGGATGGTTAGGATCCTAAACCAAAGCCTTTGGCTCAAAAGCCCAACCGCAAGGCAGTGGTGTTCGGTTGGAAATGCAAGTACATTACCATTTTTTACAGGACACGTTCCAATCCCCAATTTGGAGGGCTGGGAGACTGTTCGTCAGACCTCTACCCATGGACCAACCTGGGTGTCGTGTCCCCAGTATAGCCTAATGGGCGCCGAGGTACACAAACCGCCGCACCACTGTAAGGTCTAGTTTCTTCGTGTCCCAAATTAGTGACAGTGTCAGATTGCTTCACTTTCCCCCAGGTTTCTTGTTCTCAGGTGTTTTAGCGCTGTAACAAGGCACGGAGTGCAAGTTATCTAAGCCCATTTGTTTTCCTCTTTCGTGCCTCTCAGATCCTAACACATCAATGTACGCTGTCGTCACGATTGGCGCGTGAACCGTTTGCCGACGAAGACAGGTGTCTACTTCACCGTGCCGCGCTTCGACTGTTACCTCTACTTCGAGGTGGACAGAAACAATTGTTGTGTGCTCTGCAGGATGAGGTCGTGTTTTCCCCACATCAAATCAGATCCTTGTCAAGGTGAGTGATTACCACTCACCCCAACCATCATGTGCGAAGTTATAACTGCTGTTCTATTCATATCTCTCTTGGGAGTTCCAGGAATCCAACCCATTTAGCTCCTTCATACCAGTCGCCCGGTGCGCGCAACCGTGCCTGGGCTGATTTACTTGGTCACGTGGTCTCTACTTTTCTTTTCCACTTGATAGTGATGCTGTCTCCGGTTTGGGCGATCAATTTCTACATAACGTTCTTCAGGTATACCGAAAATATGCGTGTGGGACAAACTTGGAGGGATCAGTGGAGGATGCCGCGAAAGAAGATCGCAGTTCACGTAAGCTGTTACTGTCCGAGACGAGGTTACTTAAATCTGGGTTTTTTTTCTTCACTAAAATGACGGTATCACGAGTCGTATGGCTCATGTCAGACTTGGACAAGCTGGTAGTTTCTTCCTTCAAAATGCACAAAATCTATGCGCCAGAAGGATGTCACGGCTTTTCGATCGTTTTTTATTATGGGATTGCGCGTATTTTTTTCCGGTTTAGAAACACAACCAGCTGTTCGGACTTTCCATGATGTAGTGACGCTGCTCCACTAGCTGTATCCTTTTGTTTGATAGGTTCAGACACTGACTCGTCCACCGGGACGAGGTGGCTCATCTGGGTTGGAGCGCGACTGGAAGATCCGTGGTTCGAACCTGACCTGTGCATCGAGGCTTGGGCAACATGGCAGTATCCCAGCCCTCGTGGTTCCTTCGGGTAGCACGGCACTCATGCACCGACGTGGTGTTACAGCTGAGCGATCGATTGACCGAATCATACACTAAAATTAAACATGACGTCCTGTACGTTTAACGTTTCTGTGACCATGCGGCTCCAATGAAGGTCGGTGTCAATTTCAGTACCGATCTTTGTACTGGAACGATTTGCAAACTAGTTAGGTAATGAACCAGTGTATTTGTGGTGAAATGGTGTAAAGTTACGTCACTGCAGACGGACAAAATAATCTGTTTTGATGTCGATTCCGGAAAGCAAGTAGATCAACTATGCTACCGCGATCAAACTACAGGGCTCATATACATTGGATTCGGGAAGCGGAGTTGGAACCCCATACGGAGAAAGGTCGTGATCAAACAAAACGACGTCTTATCCGCCAGAGAGTTCATTAATGTCTCAAGTTTGAAATCAATAAAAATATACACGTGACTCTTAGTGGACAGAAAATTTCCTTTATGACGACTCCGAAGAATATGGATCCAAATGTCGCAGGCTGCCTGCGCCGTTAGCCCGCTGTGGAGACAGAGCAACGATCCAAGCACGGTTCGCTATGAGCATCCCTCACGTGAGACGCGAAATGCTCCATCGAAATGAATACTATCCAATTCTATTGCCCCCTCTAAGCTACATGCATAAAGGACTGTTGCTTCTGGCAGTCTATGCGAGCCTCTCTGCGTCCACGGTATGTTTTAGAAGAGAGAGTTGAAATATTTACTTTCACGTGTTTGTTATATGTTTGCTCCGATACACTCAGTAAACTTTTCATTTTTGTTCCAAGGCAATTGCTCATCGATCCGCGCATTACCCGGTCACATTTTGTTGACAGAGCATACCCTGTTCTGTTTCAGATCTACCAGCGCTTCCAGAGGAATCAGACATGGATCAGGATCAATCGGTTGCTCGTGTATCTCAGCCATCTGCAGATGTGTCTAGAATCCAAGCTCCAATCAATTGTTCAGTCAGCGTCGCCAGTTCTTTGTTGCCACATGACTGGTCCTACGCTCCCCTGATTGGCCAGTACCTACAAGCCAAACGATTGGCTAATGCTGGAATCACGGCTAGCTCGAATGAAACGGAGCAACAGGTAATTGAACCAATCGTTTGTCTCATAATTGGTGAGCGCCGTGTAAATGCTCTATGGTTGAATCTGTCTCACTCTCCACAACCAGGCAGTTACCCCGCACCTGACCCTTTCTTCATATTGGTCTGGTCCCGAACTTGACGTTGATCAATGCAGGATCATACAGTAATACAGTAATACTGTTCGACAGCTTTTCCCTTCTACAACGTTGATCCTCCTTGGTGAAGACAGTTTCGTAGAGGTTTCATCAGTACGGTTCCACCTCACTGCGGTTTCATACATTGAACAGATGATGGGGTGTGAGCCGAAAGTTTGTCCGGCTTCGTCTAGCAAGCAGAATAGAGTCATTGCCACCACATGGGGTTATCAAGCAACGGTGTTGTGGCTGTTGTCTTGCTTCAGTTTGCGTGTCGTTGTGTAAGGTGTAAACCTCTCCTGTTCGGTTACCGCACACACTTGCTACCCAGAGGGATCGCATAGGAAAAAAGTTGACCATCTCTGCATGTTTCTTGGATGAATATCCCTTGTGACGAGTTCCATGTTCACCATTTAAAGAGCGAGAACCCATTTCTTTCGTCGAGTTATCTCTCGGACGAGAAGTATTGTATCAAAGTACATTTTAGTTCACTGGAGAGCGTCGGATTGCGATATTCTTCACAACTTGCAGGTGGAACACGAAAGTGTTTCAGTTTTGCAAAATTGCCACTACTATTTCAGGAGGTTTTCCAGTGCAGTGTGAGATTCCTATTGTAAATTCAGTTTGATTCCCCTAAGATCATCACAGTTTACATCTAAAAACTCCCATGATCGCTAAAAAACCTTTGGAAGCCCAGAACCGACTACGTCCCTCGTGGGACCTATCAGTTTGACATAGCCCTTCAACCTTACGGTCTACTTGGGACTAAGTTTATCTGACAAGTCCCAAGAGGAGTGAAACCAGTCGCGGGCTGTCCATTTACTGAGTACATAGTGAAAGGAAGAATGCCTTCGATGCGGAGTTATTTAGTAGAAATGCCAAGTGAACCGTTACAGACTATTGAACAGGGAAGCGAAACTCTCATATGCATCTTGTTTACAGAAACTGAATACCCATCTTCTCCTTGAACGCGCCTTCCTGAACTTTCCTAGATATTCTTGACTGTTTCTCAAATGCGACTCCACAGATTCCGTAATAGATCTCACTTTTTAAGAGACGCAAAGCGGATTTGATAAAACATGCTACTCGCACGCCCCCCTCATCAGTAGTATCCACCGTTACAATAGTAGAACTAAGGTGTTTGAAACAAGCGTTGAATCTAGACGTTCGCGATCGATTATCATACAAGTCCACGCTTAGAGCGCGGCGGGGGAAGAAAGTGCCCTTGTGCAAGATATCCACAACGGGAAGAGGTGATCAAGCAGTGCACCTGTGATATTCTTCGACAGAATGTTCCAGATTCGACAAATGCACTCATTTGCATATCGATTTGGTTTTCAAGGGACGGGAGACCTGCCTGAAACTCAGCGAAATCACTCGTTTATGATGTTTTTCAACTGAGTATGTTGCACCAGGTAGTTGGTACGACATTCGAGATATCGCAACAAACCGTATGGCCGTAACACACTAGTCTCGTTGTAAACGATAGGTTCAGCTTGGTTTCAGGCGAGTCTTTCGTGGAAACCAAACTTTTGTGCAAATATATGTCGAATTTCGTGCAGTTTGGGTTCATGTAGAACACAAGTTTGACGGGGACTTTGGGACTGTGCCTACCTGATGATGAGCCAACCCCAAGAGGGACGAAAGCGGTCGTGGGTTATCGAAGGGTTTTCAGCAACCTCATGTATTACGTTCACACGGAGTTGTAGGTTGTTTTTATGACCTGATGTACTTGTAGTACGACGTCCAAAAACCGAATCGGATCGAGAAATCCAGTGTACTCCACTCAAAGGGGCACAAACACAAAACGTCGTTCTAAACGGCACCCATAGATTCTAACGCGCCTGACAATGTCCTGTTACCCTGTCTGCACAGAGACTGCATTATCTCCATACATCTGGTCTATTTGACCGACCGTGGTTCGTTCTTCTGACGAACCGGCTAGCTGCATTTGGCTCAACCTCACCGTGTTATTAGGGGAGAAGTTTCATCTAAGGACTGCAATTTCATATCGTTTATCGGCTGATTGCTGCTTGCTCCTAATCTGTCTGTATGCAGTTGCTTCAGGCATCTTGATAGCTAACCTCTTGATGGCAATTACCTTGTCGGTTACCAATTGATGTGTGATAATCCTTAGATTGATATTCCATATTACTTATTTTCCACCATCCCTACAGGAATCTTTATTCGACCTAACTGTTGGACTGCGCTGGCTACTGTTCCTTTACGAAATTCACTCCTGTCAGGATTCACCTGGCAACTGTGGTATTCTGGATCCTCTGGCGCATCTAACCCGTCTGAGTCTCGGTTGTTTGGGCTACGCCGGAGCCGGCGGTCTCGGTTTTGGACAATCTGGAGTCTTGTTGGCCAAACTGATACATCTGGTTGGATCGATGCGCCGATTACAACAAAGTTCTAATCGCCCCTACTCATTGGAAACGGTCGATCTACCCCCATTTTGTGCCTCTTTCTATGATGTGTAAGTTATCTGTGACAGCCAGGTTGCTCCCCACACGTTGTATCTCCATACTACAAAGTTTCTGTCAACGAAACTCTCGTTTTTCTCAAGGAACATGATGATCGGCCTCATCCACACTCCCATGCTGTCTCATCCTTGAGCATGCTGACGTTACCAGTTTCTTTCGGTCTTATCATCAGTAATAGTGCATCCTGAGTTGCCTTAATTTCTCCAGTGCTACATTCCAACGACACTCGGTCTTGCGATCGTCCAAACTCTCGACGACACCTCCCTTCCGTTTTTAGGTACACGGACCTTTTGGGACACTTCGCGGCCCTGTCCTACAATTCCCCCGTTTTTGCCAACCTCATATTGTGGCCATGTCAGCAACTTTGTCACATGAAATACCGCCGCGCCCTGTGGGGTGAGCACCAAAGCGCTTTGGTTGCAGTCCGCTTACGATTGGATCAGGTGAGCTAACCCTGTTCGCACCGCATGCATACACATCGGTCGTTCTTGCCGCCGAAGAATTTCTACCGATTTCTCTTTATTCTTCCTTCAATACCGCAGCTTCTATTGCCTGTGGATAGCTTTTTGGACCCGGAAGAGACGGATGAATCGGTGCTCCGGGTGTACGCGTCCGCGCTACTCTCTGGTGGAGTACGAGTAGACAGACAGCCCCTACTGTTTCTCATTGCCGTGCATCACATCAATCGGTAAGTTCAGTTCGGGCGCTCGATTCCATCATGTGCAACATTCGAGTAATGGACGCGCTTGCTTTACTGTCGCTTCATATTCAATCCAGCATACCACCATCAGAATTACTCAAATCTATCTAATCGATGCTCCAAGGGTGAAACACGAACGAGATGGTTGGTTCGTACGACTGGCAAGTTCGTTTCAATACTCGGAAAATGACAGGTCTGCACCGGTTGCTATCAACCCTTTCAGAGACAGAATAAGCCCAGGTTTCATCGGAAATAGTTATGTCTCCTGTTTTGTCCACTGTACTGTTACAGGTTCAGTAAAATTTTGCGGATCGTTCCGCTGTAGCACCCTTTCGGTGCCTAACTGCCATGCCACCCGAAGGAAGCACGAGGGCTTGGATACTGTCAGGTTGCCCAAGCCTAGACAGGGGAAGTCGCGAGGCAGAGTTCGGGTTCGAACCACGAACCTTCCGGTTAGTAAATTCGCGCCCTAGCCACTGAGCTATCCCGCGGATAGAAATTATTCTTTGTTACTAGAAGAGGCTTTATGCCAATCGAATTCATTAGCATCCACCTTCGCACTGGTTGAGCTGTTTGCATTCGGTTGTGGAAACCCCTGAGTTCTAGGTAGGCCTCTGCTGAACAGCTGAACTACATGCCCGAGCCTGCGGACTTTACTGGTGCCCTTGATAGGATGCTGTTCCCAACTTGCGACGGAAGCCCGAATCATCATTACGTTTATGGCCCAAGTGGTTAGAGCGCGAATTTACTGACCTGAAGGTTCGTGGTTCGAACCCGACCTCCACCTCTCGACTTCCCATGTCTAGGCTTGGGTGACCTGGCAGTATCCCAGTCCTCGTGCCTCTTTCGTGTGGCTTGGCAGCTAGGCCCTGAAAGGGTTCTACAGCTGGACGATTATTGTGGTCCGACACAGGCACTTCGACTGCCCTCCGTCTTGGCATGAGATCCCAGGCCTCGTGCCTCTTTCGTGTGGCTTGGCAGCTAGGCCCTGAAAGGGTGCTACAGCTGGACGATTATTGTGGTCCGACACAGGCATTTCGACTGCCCTCCGTCTTGGCATGAGCATTGTGGCAGTATCTCTGGCCTCGTGCTTCCTTCGAGTGGCATGGCAGCTCGGCTCCACAAATGTCTCACGGCTGAATGGTTATTTATTATTATTGATTATTACTATTTATTATTATTTACATAGAATTGAAATGTGCGTATGACAGTAGTGCGAGCGATATATCTGGCCTCTTGTTTTATAAATCACCAGAGGACCGCGATTTCCCAAATACAGTATTTTTCTTGTCCGGAGGCCAGCCACCCGTAAGGTCTGTCGAAGGACCACTTCCTATGGGTCATTTCTGTTCCGGGACCGTTATCTCCTCTGTTTTAAGCAGGTAGTATGGCAACCATGCATCTACGATATTTTTGTTGCTTATGCCAGTAGCTGCTGTGACCGCGCGAGGCATCGGCAGCCTGACTATGCTTTTCTTGGAACTGCCTGACATGGATTCCACCATGATAGACTGCGAATTTATGACCATACGCCCTCACACATTGTTTCTTGTTCAATTTGTCCTAGCTACCTATACCACGCTCAGAACGCCAAGTCCGCTTTCGTACAACAGTTTTCACGGCTGGTTCGAGCGGCACCTCACCATCAGGACTCTAATCGGCAAAAGCCGGCTACATCGCTACGAGCCAATGTGCTGGATATCATTCGGCACTACAAACAACCAAACTCAGTCTGGACCGGGCAGAATCCCCAAATTCTTCCGGACGACTGCCTGGCTGTCGGTGTCACTGACCCCCTCGTCGTATGCCAAGGCGCTCACCGCACTTTCGAATCGGATTCCGTCGCAACATTTACTACATTGGTTGCCAATGCCGGAATTGAATGCTACTCACCGAACCAACTCCCAGCACACCGCAAAACCTTCTGGGACCAGTATATTTCCACTTGACCAGAATCACCAATTTGTGCATACTTCTTGTACAGTCATGTTGCCTACCCAAAAGATTTTTAAAACATTTTTCAAGTTGACGCTCACGTGTTCCCAAACGTTGTTAAAATCATACCACTGATTAGACGTTGACGCTCACGTGTTCCCAAACGTTGTTAAAATCATACCACGTGATTAGACGCCAAGCCCAATCAGCTGGGATCGACAAAATTGTCAACAGATTGGAGTGCGTAAAGGCATTGTGAGGAGAAGAGAAAGACGATCCGGAGGTGTAGGGCACAGCAACGGGTGAAATAATCACTTCGAAACAGGTCAGCTTAGATGAACAGGACGAACCACAGCCAAAAACGCCACCACAAAGCTGTACACACACATGTACTGTTGCCTCAGAACGGTGATGAAAGACCTGGTTGGAGAGAGATGAATAGAAAGTACCAAAGATGAAAAATCAAGGCGGGGTCGCGGGCGCAAACATCAAACTTCCAACAGCACTCCTACACAGCACTGGCAGTGAGGACAATCGTGTTGGAGCACTTGTTGGCGTAGTTGTTCCAGTGTTTGTGTAGATCGAATCAGACGATCTGGTGATTGATCCCTCGTCGTCTGGTCCTTCGACGACTGTTCCTCGACATCCTCATCACACAAAAGGGATAAGCCAGCCTCTGCGTCAGCTTCGTCTGTCGTGATATTGACCTCCTCCAGCAGAGATTGAAATTCTGATAGAAAGTTTGTCTGTCTCAGCTCATCGTCTGGGTTATTTTGTTCTAGGGTGGAGAAGGAACAAAGAAGTGTAACAAAGAATTACATTTTTGTAAGAACCAACAAATTTTGAGCAGGATAACACGAAATGTAGCCACAAGGCGTTACACAAAATATACTACGATAAGAGCAAGTGTGGTTTAATCTATCGCTGATCAGGCGACCGCACTCCTATTGGACGCTCCCGCCGACATCTAGATGGTCGTAACTATTAGCGTCCCTTAACATGTCTTTCACACAGGTTGACTCGAACTGCCTGACTGTTCAGTGGAGTGTCGGTTAAAACGGAGGGGCGCAACAGTTGTAGCTCAAACGAGCCAACTTACACCACGGAGCGTACCGGAGGGCTCTACTACGCACCAAGTAAGACGTGTATATCAATCAGATTCCGTCTGGGATGGTCTGATGAACAATCCAGCAATGATCGTGACCCTCCGGTTAATTGAATGTGTATTTTCTGCCCAACTCCCGTACCGCGTTCGTAAATTGTTCACCTGCGCAGCCGTTCGTTTCGGTCCAAGGACGATGCTCACCTGGTGGACTCTAAACATGACGGAACAGGTGATGAGCTGCCGGGCTTTCGAAATCGAACGCGTTGACATTCACTTGGCTCACCCAAGAGGATTTCCTTTCCATAGGTAGGAGATAAGGGGACTTAATCTGTATGATGTCAGGAAGTAAAAAATAGGTGAGGATGTCCACTGTGTGGAATACTTGCAACCTCTCCGGGAGAACCCACATTACACTTGAAGAGTGAAAGTTCTCACATGTCCAGTATCGATCTCGCGAACTGAATAACACCCAAACAGCAAGGTTATCAAACATCTAATCAACAAGAGATTCAGTGGGGTCCAAATTAGTGTGCGACTGAGAATATATGGCGAATTCTGTCCAAATTGAGTTCAAGTAGAATATAAGGTGGACGAAAACTCGGGGACTGTGCCTACCTAATGAGACCGAAAAAAAGCGAAACCGGTCGTGGGCTGTCGAGTTTTCAGCTATCTTATGAGTAGTATATTACATCAGCTTAATCTGTCCCTGCACATCACGACCACAGCCTTAATTTGAGTGCTCTTCGTGGACCGAACGTGGTAAAATGGTCACGTGATACAACTCATACCTTTGTGTGCCTCCGCGTCTGCGGATTCACCACCATCAGACCTCTCACCAGCTGTTTGTGGAACCATATCTTTCATGTGTTGAAGTCGCGAACGCAACCGCATTCGGTCCTTTACTAAGCGACCCAGAAGATGCTCACGAGCCTGTGCGCGACGGGCAGCAGCGGCACGGCGATGGGCGAACAACGTCACGTACTCCCCAACTGTAGCTGCCTCCATCTCCAGTTGTGTGACGACTGACTCAAGTTTGGCACGCTCCTCTGTCGCACGACTCAATTTGTCCATGCAGTCGACAAATTTGGTCTCGAGCTGAGTGTGCGCAAGCTGTAAAACAGTGGGTGTGACAGCTAGTTAGTCATAGTTCGGAAGAAATCCATATTGTTTGGCTACGAAACGTTTTCCACGAATAATTATCATGCGATTCGAAAAAAAAACACAAAACGTAAACGAGGGTAGCTAGAACTCAGAAGTGAGACATCCTGGTCAAGCAGGGCCATATCGAAACGTACTTCAGGGAGCGCGATATGGGATTTAGTCCAATCTGTTTTGAGCGCTAAAATTCTAAACGGTGAGAAGGCCGTTCTGCGTCCATAGGACTCGGTAGAACTGGTACGGAGCGAAAAACAGCCGTGTTTGTGAGCCTGCGAGTGTACGCACTTCGTCAACTGTCCATTGGTGAAGAAATTGCACTCAATCTCTAAATCCTGTTACTTTTCGCCAATGCTCTTTGTTCGGGGATAGAATGGGATGCTCAAATACAATTGTACCCCTTACTTTAGAGGGCTAGGTTGGAAAGCCAAAAATGATTTCTGAGACAAACTTTACCATTGACACAAGCTCTAATGGACGAATCAACTGATCTGTCTACCGTATACGACAGAAATTATAAAGAATAATAACGAGGTTTTCAATTACACTTCTGGCTTTTAACTCCATTTAGTCAACAGTGTGTCAGTGGAACCGAATTGTCTATTCTGAAGTTGTACCTGCTTCCACACCAGGGAGAGGAAAAGCGTCCATTCTCATTTAGCCAGGACAGCGACTTGCTAGAGGTTATATTCTGGACAGAACTAACACCTTCGCGGAAGTAACGCGACTCCGTAAGCACCGGTATTTATTTGGCGACAGAAATTTCAGATTTAAATGAAACCCTCGCCATCCACAAATGATTCGGATGTTGTACGCTTTTAGTACCTCGATGCCAGAAGACACCTGAGAATCAACGTCATGCGATACTACCAGGCCAACATTGGGGTAATCGAATCGTGGGCTTATTAGGTCAATAGCTCGCGAATTCGCCCGTGTCATTCCGAGTAGTCCGACCCGCCTAGCGCTCCCGATCACAAATATATATTGAAAATGTTTTTATTTCCCGTTCGAACAGAGACTTGGCCTTCCCATTGATGAAGCTCTCACCCATTGCACAGAAGGCCAATGAAGCAGCGAGAATGTAGAATCTTTATGAAGGCGAACGTTACTGACCGAAATCCATGTGGTATTCCTACGATATGTCAGTGAGAAACTTTCCTTGTGGCAGTACGTGCATCCGCCCAACTGTCGATCGTTCAGTTTATACAGACAGAAGTGAATGTATAAACGCGAAAAGACAAATGAATGGAGAAGTGCTTCACTGTTTTTTGTTAGTAACACACCAGAGATTTCCCGGTGCGAGTGCCATGCTCAAAAATATCACAGATTCCGTTCGAATCTGCGGGAAGTACAAAGATGGGGTGAGTCTGCCAGCTTCCAAATGATAGCCGTTTGAACAGACACAATGGATACTAAGTGTGTCGTTATGTGCTTCGATTGCTTTGAGACAGTTTGTGTTGTATGATATGCCCCATTAGTGCATGAGTTGCGGTCCCTCTTTCATTAACTGTACGGGGATGTGGATTCACATGGAATTGAATAAGAACTTGAGCACATCATGCGATGGAAAAGACAGGGATAACCTTGGTAGGGAATCGAACTAGTGAAAACCGAGAAGTCGCAAATCCGAACCCCATCTAGAGATGTTGGTCTTTAGGTGTTGCTCGTCTTTGGGTCAGACCAGTACTGTTCCGGTAAAATTCTTCTACAGGATCAGTCCAAAAAAGTGATGTCTCTCTAAACGAGCCCCCATGTTTTCATAGCAACGAATAGAATGAATTTCTTAATCCCAAGTCCAGCCGCTTGCTCCCTAGAATTAAACATATCAGAGCTAATGGACAAGCACCAACAAGCTTCAGCACTGTCAACAGCCTCACGAAGCAACCGTTTTGACCGGGATGGTCAGTAAAGAAGTACCAGGGTTTTCAACGCATTGCTATGATCTGATATAGAGCACACATGGGGAAACTTTTACCAGACTGCTTCACATCACGGCATTATAGACAGATGTCGACTCTGTTTTCTCTTTTGTAGCCGAATGCATGCGACGAACTAACAAATTTCTTGAAAAGTGAGGAGGCCTTGTCAACCATCTCTCATTTGGGATGGGCAAGCTGATGTTAATATAAGAAAATTGATCGTTTCTGATAACTAGTCCGCCAGATTTACCAATTTCCGATACAGTTAGTCTTCCACAGAGGTACAAGCCAAAAACTCATGTGCACGTCATACGGAGGTTCCCAGGCTGGTTGAGTTCGCTCAGGTAGGCATTCGAGTCCCAGCTTACCTGCAATTTGTTCCACTGTTCCACACTGGGTAACTGTTGCAGAGTCGCCTGATGTTGCCGGTTTTGCTCTGCTTGCACGGCGACTTCACGATTCTTTTGCGTGATTAACGACTGTGCCAGACGATCCCAAGAAGTGACTAGCTCCAATGCATTCTCGTGCAGTTCTCGAATATCTTTTCCATTTTTCCGAGCCAGCGCAGTCCTGGACACATCTCCGTTGTCCTGGTCGGCAGCGTGCTCCTGAAGCCATTCGAAGGACACTGTGATTCGATGCAACACACTTTCGAACAACTCCAGTCGGGTCTCCAACGCGGTTATGGTAGTCTGTAATCAATAAGCGCAAGACGAAACGATCGATACTCGCAGGCAATAAAAACAAGCATTTCAGACAAGCATCTATGATCAGGCGAGATGGTTCAGTGGTTATATCGCGAATTTACTGACCGGAAGGTCCGTGGTTCGAACCGGACCTCAGCCTCTCGACTGGCGCTGTCTAGGCATGGGCAACCTGACGGTATCCCAGCCCTCGTGCTTCCTTCAGGCATGGCAACGAAGCACCAAAAGAGTGTTACAGCTGAACGATTTTTTCCTCTACGATCAGGCGTGACATTGGGATACTCAAACGTTTCTAGCAAAATGCAGAAATCAGAAGCCTCACGCCTCTCTATTAATTAACTTTCTGGTCTCGGTAGCCATATCATCGGTGAGCCGTTAGATTGATACCGGACAGCCCAGCATAGTCTTTTTTTAGTGAGTTGGAACAAGCGACTAGTTATACTACACAAGCATCTCTTCCCCTCATTGTTGCTGATCATGCCACGTGGCCAACGATTTGTATAGAAACCTAGCCGCCTTGTGTGACACAAGGATAGCTCCAAAAAGGGAAGCTCATAAAGCTGTCTCGCTGTGGAATAAAAGGGAAACCTAAGAAAGAGAAGTACAGCCACAAAAGTTCCTCAACCCGAGCCGAGCGTCCAATGCGATTCGGACGATAAAACTGGATGCAAAAAAAAAACAAATCAAACCACACCGTAGAGCCAGTGAGAAAAAAACGAGGCCTATTATTAGCTGACTGTGTTTCAACTATTAAAACTATCCGTATAGCCTAGAGGTACGGAAGGGAATACCCCTAAGCGAACAATTCCAGTATGAAGAGATGATTTGTTTACTGCATTTCGGAAAAATGACCCCCTCGAGAATCATGGACAAAGACTGGTCGTTGGCTTGTTCGTTGAGCTGGGGAATTTGACTGCATGCAATGCATTCACCTCATCTGTCACACTAGGATCAGCGTCTGCGTAATTCAATACAAAATTCTGCTTGAATGACCGTCGAATACAAATGAATCCCCATTACTTCGGGCGCATTCGACGCACACTTTGGAATGCCCCGAAGATACTTCCCCATAGGATATAGTGACCTGAGCTACCAACACTTTCCTCTATAGACAATGGACAAAGTCTGGTTAGCTGACTGCCATTTCAAATGATCCGCCATATCGGTCAACTCTTGCCGACTGGATTGGACCAAGCTTAGTCGTAAAATAGCCTTGGATATGCGAATAGTACCACCCCGTCAAATTGAAGTAATGAATAAAGACAGCAACGCTAAAGAATAGGATAAAACCGTCCATCGCAAAGTTATTTCTGGAGTTCTGGATAATCTTTGTATCGAAAGAGGGCCGATGATGTCAAAAAGTCGTAATTATGCACGTACATGGTTGTTTTCCAGTTCTTTCATCAACTTGCCCACAAGTTCGTCATTGTTTTCTGCCGCGGCACTGTCGGATTGTTGTTGCTGCTGCATAGCCTCCACGTGGAGGGTGGTGTGTGTAGCATGGTCACATTCCCCATGCTCACGCGCCCGATCCAACTCCCTTGAGAGCGCTTCGAACGCCTCAGACAAAGCGTTGTACTCGGACTCCCGTCTGGCACACTGAAAGACGGGAGAAAATGCATTATGGAGTTATACAAATCCAAAACAAGATTAGTGGTTTGGTACATTGGGAATGCGAGACGATAGAGGGCTGTGGGGGGTGGCTCGTTGCAAAAAGGTGGAGTTCGTTGAAAATAGCATTAAATGCTCCTCTATACAACCTCTTTCTCTTAAAAGAACCGAAAGTCTTGTTGATGGGAATTCGATTCGAGGAAATTTGTCGAAGTCAGGTGCACACCGTTCTGTCGTGCACCTTTGCAAGTACACATGTTCCGACTATAAAACGAAACGCATGCTACAAAGTTTGGTTTGCGTATCCGACTGTCACAGTTTCTGAGACGGTAGCTCAACAAGACTAGTTGACCATGGATCCGTGTTTCTTGTACTGTATTTATCACGCTGGAGGTTGGTGTGCAATGCGTTTGACATGACACTCTGAGGTCTATTGCTTCGTCTTACCCATGTTTCTGATCAGTTGACCTGTTCGTAGGCAACTTGGGGTGAAATTGTACAGCTATACGTCCATATCAGGACTGGAGTCGTTGCGGAGAGGGTTACTAGATGGAATAGGTTATTCAGGTATTCAAATAGCGTCAGGTGGAAGCTTGCACCAAAGCCATCCCATAGCTCGCAGTAAGGCACTGCAACAACCAGCAAGCTTAACGCGCACGTGATTGGCCAGAAGGTCGGTTTGCTATTCTGCCCAGCATCAAGGCAAGTCCTGATTGGTCGAAAAACTGAGGCCAGAGCGACCATACCCAGACAGGAGGACAATTAGGGCCTTTGGCTCAAAAGCCTGGTCGCAAAGCAGCAGTGTTTGGTGGAAAATTCAAGTGCATTACCATTTTTATAGAACAAGTCGCCACACGTTCTAACCTCCAACCTGGAGGGCCAGGAGACTATGCTGGTCAGACTTCCAGCCATTGACCAACCTGGTATGAGAGACCCCGTACGTGTCGCATGGATACCACCCAGTGTAGCTCAATGGGTCACGGATGACCACACACCGTCTCCCTGTGACGGACCTGTCGTATGGTGCGCCGGTTAATGAGACCAGTGATAGAAGGAACTAATCAAGTATGGAATTAGGACAAAGAATGAAACCACAGATGACGCTTGGCTTCGTACTCACGTGTTCTTGGAGTCGTTCCAATTGACCACGATAGTCATGCTGAATAGTGCCGATTTCCCGAAGGGCGTGCTGCTCCCGCTGAAGGTCACTGGTGAGTTGCATATTTTGATTGCTCTACAAACGAAAGACGGAAGTGCAGAAGATCATTTCAGCGTGGAATTCGTTTGTCGGGGAATTAATTAGCGAAAAACGTGACGCCTCTTCGGATACGACGGCGTTACTTTAAAACTGGAAGTTAGTTACAAACGCTCCATAGAAGAACACACGGTAGCAATGGAGTGGGCAGGTAGAGTTTGGAGCCTATTCCCTAGAAGAGTGAGCTTCACAGGTTAAGTCGGGGAGCAAAAGAAACGTTCGTACATTGTGCACAACCAAAGGGGCAAATCAGAGGAAAGCGCGTACCATACTGACAAACGCATCTTGCAGTTCGGTGAGCTGCTGCTTGAGCGTACGGTTTTGTTCCACTGCCCGACTGAGAGCCGTACGTTCGGAAGTTGCTGTGGCCAGCACGGAATCCCGGTCGGCTAACAGCACATCCTTCTCGTGAATCACTGACTCGGCATCGAGCAGTTTAGACTTCAGTGAGACCGTCTGTAGAGGAGTGGAAAGTAGAGTGGGGAAGCGAAAATAGAATAGGCGATAGGTGATTTTCTCCAGCAATGTGGAGCTGGGATGGTTAGAAACGGGTTGGACCGTCACTCAAAGACAGTACGGAAAAGATTGGAGGCAATCAAAAAACCATCGTTTAAATAAACCCATCGATCGTTTTGCGGAATTTCTGAAGCGGAGTTTGTGCACATAGGTGCACACGGAGAAATGCTACTCATGTGGCGCCTTCATGATAACCAATTTTTTTAAAAAGAGGGGCTCAATTTGCCAAGACTAAGCAACTAATAGCCAATCAAATTGTTGAGTGGAGAGTTTATGTACACGATCATCGCCCTACTCTTTGAAAAACAAGGCGAAGTACAGTCACTGTTAAATAACCTGACCACCATCTTTCAGCATGCGCCTTGCAGCTTCAAAGTGTAGGGATTTGCTTCAGGACATACGGTCTCCGAACATACGCCCAACAATTCAAGGAGAATTAAAGAATAATTTGTGGAGAATTTTACATACCTCAGTAGCCGTATTACCTCTGATGGAAGTGTGACTGAGGAAACAAACAATGCCAAACTATGAGGATGACATGTTGTTCTTGAGATTTACGCACGGACGGCTATCGGAACACGCGGCGGTGTCACCTTACTCGATCGCAACTGTATCAGCTGTTTCACACTTCAGAAAATCCCGTTTTGTGTGGCTTTTTAGCAGACAAGTTTGGACAACACCAGTGGCAGCAATTGTCATCATCTGAGGAGTTGGAGTGTCATTATCCTAGATCAAACACTACCAAACAGCACATTTCCCTAATGTTGTTTGAAGTACTCCAGTGAAGCACGTGCGGAGGTTGAAATGACAGTGTGACGGAATACTCAGTTGTGTTAATTCACGATTTGTTCGTAAACGTTTCGTCACCATTCGAAGAGGCATCGTCGGTATGCAGTTGATTGGGGAGATCACCGTTTCTTGCTGCGTTCATATAGTCTTAAGGGATGGCTGTTCGCAATCTGTATTACGTTTTCATCTGTCCTGTTTGGTTTTTATTGGTCCACTAGATACTAATGAGAAAAGGGGCAAAAAGAACAATACCCGGTGGATCACTCAAACGCAAGCAAGACACACCACAACGCAACACAGATTGCGGACGAATGAATCCCCTCACGGATAGGATTACTTTTACGCAGCTAATCACACTCGTGGCCCAAAATACTGTTTAAAAATTATACAAACACAAGTAACTGCATAAAATCTCTAGACCGCGCAGCGACAAAACCACATGGAATTGGAGGTAAACATTTTTAAACGAATCGCTGAGCTCCGTGAACAGATCAACTACCACTTGGTCGACAGTCAAGGGGGCTGAAGCATAATTGTTCAGCTGTAGCACCCTTTCGGTGCCTAGCTGCCATGCCACCCGAAGGAAGCATGAGGGCTGAGATATTTCCAGGTTGCCAAGCCTAGATAGGGGGAGTCAAGAGGGGGATGTCGGGTTCGAGCCACAGACTTTCCGGTCCGTAAATTCGCGCTCTAGCCACTTAAGCCATCTCACCCCCCCCCCAAGTGAATGTGTAACAAAGAACAGCCAAAATATGTTTGCTTTCTGCATTTGAAGACAGACCAGCGCGCGTTTACCTTCCGATAACACTGTCGGACAGAAACAGTGAAGGGTGCGTCATGACCCATCATCCCACTTGTGTCACAAGCGGATGAGGAATGGTGAAAAAGGGCGGCAAGATTATCGTACCCTTACGAGGAGAACATATGGTCTACATGAAATGTGCGATCCATTGTTCAAGAGGCAGTCATAAAAAGTAATGAGAGAGTTTTCCACATACAGATTATCGGTGGGTCCTCCTAAAGATTTGCGAGCTGTTTTGCTGCGAGAGGGTCGTCAATTGCACGGCTTACAGATCGTTGTCTGAAACTTCTTTTTTTTAGAGGGTTCATCATCCGCCTCAGTAGAAATTTACGGAATTTGATGAAAGTCCATACGAGTCTTTAGACTTATGAGGAGTAAGTCTATATTATCAAGCAAAAAAGACCGTATCGCTCAAGGAAGTGTGGTTAGTCACATTATTCCCAGCCAGATGAAATGAGGCATTCAAAACCTACAGCATATTGCCCCAACTCACCTCTTCCGTGAGTCTTTGCAAGTCGGACTGCTGCAGTGCCGTCAGATCCTCCAGCTCTCGTAGCCGGGTGGAGTCCATCGTTGCCACACCCGTACTCGTTTGTGTCTCGTCCTCCTTATGTACGTTTCTGGTTGAATCTGGGCTCGAGGACTGATGGTGTACAATTTCCAGTTTACTTCCTGTGACAAAAGGGCAAGCAAAGTTACACATCTAACCAAAGATGTAACATGTGACACAAAGCGCTCGGCGAATCACTAGCGTCTACTACAGATCTGACGTGAACCCATGTTTAGGAGAACACGAATCCCTTAGGGATGATTACGCTCAAAAATTCTGTCCTAACAAGTAAAAAAGGATTCGGCCAAATTTATCGGAGTGGTTTTTCTCTTGGTAATAGTCAGCCACGATAAAACCATGGACCGATAACCTTACAACAGTAATCAACAACAACAAGGACGGGGCCAGGTCCTACTATCCAACAGCGGTCCAAATCACGGAATCAAAACAAGCTTCTCACTACTTATATAATTTGAGTAGCAAAATTATCATTCAGCCAACGATTGACTGCTCAGTCAAAGATTCCACACGATGTTATACGGCCCGTTGATACTCCCCGGTGGCGCGACGCTGTTGAGCTTGCTACAAAGAAATCACGACTGAAACTGCTGAACGTCAGAACGAAGCACACTATCGCGAGAAGCAAGATTCCCAAAACCTGTTCAAGCGAAGGTTCAATACATCTGTTCAGATTATGCCCAGATCATCCTAGTTGCCCTGGGACCATTCCGTTTATTGCACACGGAGTTTCTCACTTGTTATAACTCATAAGTAGTGCATAAACATGGTCGTAATGGAATTCGAACCCCGAAAATCTGCTATGAAGGCAATGAAAGCTGATTTATCACTTCCTTCGTAAACAGGAACACTGGATCGCAAAGAGTAATCAGTGAGCAACCAAATATGAATAGGAAATCCGAGTAGTGGAAAAAAAGTGCGAGGCACAACCTGAGAATCGTTAGAGTTTTAGGGGCTCTGAAAGGAGAAAGCGCCGTAATGATCGTTGAGTGGTACGCCCATTTTTGCAAGAACAAATTTTTGTAAGAACAAATAACGTAATCATTCAGCAGTAACACCCTTTTGGTGTCTGCCTGAAATGCTACCCGAAGAAAGTTGGTGGGCTGAGATAGCGTCAGGAGATCCAGGCCCAGACAGGAACAGCCGAAGTGCTAGAGTTGGGTTCGAACCATGGACCTTATGGTCAGTAAGTTCGCGCCCTAACCACTGAGCGTGTTACTGTCGATTGTTGAAATGCTAACACGGGCCTAGTGTTCACATCATCCAAGACAAGGTCAGTCAGTCTTGTTAAACGCCGAGCACACGCGTAAGAGTTCACTGTAGAGCACAGTTTAAATGTGCGCGCGCAATCCAGAGTATGGGCCCACCAAATGTCACCGATGTTTATAAAATTGATCACGAAAGTTCCGGTGTGCACGTCCACACTCCCTTATTCATGCTTGTTTGCGTGGTGCGCGCGTGCAACAGATATGACTATATGGATGCTTGGTTTGCACGCGCGACAAAACTGTATGACAGTCGCTGTTTTCGGCACAGCTCTCGCAACAGAACAGACGGATTTTACTGTAAGGAAGTGGGATAGAAACTTCTGGATTATGTCTTAAACGAAATGATGCCGAATGAAAAAAGGTGGAAAAGTCGTTCGGTGCGACAAAACTAGAAAATGAGAAAACATTTTGTCGACACATCCAAACCAGTTTATCCGGAAATCTTCATAAATCGCATTGCAAGATCATCTGGATGACATTGTGGGCGAAACCTCTGAATTCCCGCTTTAAATCTGGATGCATCGTCCATTACGTTGACACTTGAAATTCCCCACGTTTATTCTGTCCGCATTTGCAACTCCCGCCCTAGTTTTCTATTTAGTGTGTGTATATGAACTGGCGTTTGTTTGTCCTTATCACTTCACTCATTTGGCCTTGAGGTCATCCGGCCATCTTTGGCCGACTATGTGCACGTGTGACTGTCTCACGTGGGAGCCTGTTTGCTCCTTTAGTTTGCACTTTTGTAGTCCAAGTGGATCATTAATTTTGGACGAGTCTCTACTGTCGAGATCTGTATAATTTGTGAACTTATGCCTTACATTAATAGTACCGCATAGAAACCAGGCTCCGACTTTGTTTTGCCTTTTCGGAGGTTCTGATATGATGCGTCACACGAAGATATCGTTCGCCCGTTACACTGAGTATGAAGCCAACCAAGCGCTTCCACGTAACGACCAGCCTCTGAAGAGGTCAACGAAGTGGACTACTAAATTCTCCGAAAGAGGACATGTCAGCGACGTTCAAACACCTAAACGTATGCACCCAAGTCAGAATTAAAAGTTTTCCCACTCCACAAAATGAGAAAATGCCTCGAACCAAGATCAAACTATTACATTAATAGTACCGTATAGAAACCCAGCTCTGACTTTGTTTTGCCTTCCGGAGGTTCTGGTATTACGCGTCACTCGAAGATACCGTTCGTCCGTTACACTGAGTATGAAACCAAATACCATTGTGCACTCAATGGACCGGTAGGAGTTCTCAACCAAGCGCTTCCACGTAACGACCAGCCTCTGAAGAGGTCAACGAAGTGGACTACTAAATTCTCCGAAAGAGGACATGTCAGCGACGTTCAAACACCTAAACGTATGCACCCAAGTCAGAATTAAAAGTTTTCCCACTCCACAAAATGAGAAAATGCCTCGAACCAACGATCAAACTAACACCGATCTTCTTTTGCATATTCCAGGCGCGTTACAGGTTAAAGTATCTGGATCAAATAGAAAAGGTTTTCTGTTTGCTACTGTGGAAGATGCTGGCAGCTTAGATTGTCATTGGTCTGTTCGCTCGGTGGCTCGATTGCAAACGACTCACCACCAGTCGAGGTAGCATCATCAGGGCGGTGTTGGGATGCGTAGTGGAGCTTAGCGATGGTCTGATGGCTATACGCCGAGTAGTGTTACTTTTTTTGATAGCCGGGGCTGACCTTCCGTCATGATTGCCTGTTCAGTTGAACGGTTCCATTTGCTGGTCTGTTATCCTGTCTCCTGATTGGTCAATGACCACGTGGCCTTTGCGCTTGGCCCCCTCTGCTCCCGTACTTCGGTCGATGCTGGAGCAACCTGTGAGCTTACTCCTTTGGGTTATTGTCTGTGGACCTTGTTGATATGACTCAAAAGTTTCCTGTTTCTTGGTTCATTAATCCGATATTCGGATGTCCCTTAGCATTCTGGTCCTTTGCAAGTAGTGGCGTAAATTGGATCCACTTCAATGCGTCAGTTGATCGAGACCGTCCTGGAGCACCACGCTTCCGAAAACCCCCAATCCATGTCTCCATTTGCCAAGATTTTTGCGTTTTACAGGCTCAATTCGTGACCTTCTTGGTTTGTACGTATGGACACCAAGGGTAGGGAGTAATGCCCCTTGAGGGCCGCGTTGTGTTCCTTCATCCGTGTGCATAAATTCCTTCCACCTTGTCCAATAGGTGGCGGGAAAGTGGAAACAGAGGGTACAGGGGAACACGGCTTGAAACGTTAGCCAAACACTTTCAAAAACAACTTGTGAAAGTGTCCATGTAAAGCGGCTGTAATACACCACATTATGGAGTGTGTTCAAAAACGCTTTAGGATGGTTCCGCACTTTTGTTGGGAACATTTGTCACCAGCGGTACATCTAACGCCATTTCCGTAGAAGCATACTCCAGTAAATTCTTATGGTGTTCGTTAACTGCTGACCGAAACTCATCCTACATCATCCGATATCATTGGAACCCGACAATTTGTAGCGCGGTGTATTCGTGATCCCAGACCAAGCAAGCTGAAGCGATCAACAAGCCTAACCTGCACGTGATTGGTCAGGATGCCGAGCCATTGGCCTGTCCACCATCAAGATGAGCTTTGATTGATTAAAAATTTCCATCCAACAGCCAATCCTGTTCCAGTATCCACTGAATGCCGGTTGCCAGTGCCGAGTCCAGGCGTCCAAACTCTCATGTTTTCGTTATATACACAGTGAACACGACACGCTCTACATGGTTTTTTTACTTGCTTTTGGCGTGTGCAATTGGAGGATCTGTTGAAAACGACAACCGAGCTGATCATTACTGTTATCGCAATTTTTCCACCTGTGAATTCAACCTGAAATTGTCCCCTCTTTAGGGGGATAAAAAACACTCGTTTTTAGGGAAAAGCAGCATTCTCCGTTGCATATAAGCACGTTTATTCGCGGAAATAATATCCCAAATCGGGGTGCTTGCGTTTCAGCAAAACGTGACCACCAACCGGAGTGTGTAACCAAAGTAACCAAATAATTAATTAGCTTTTGTGTAAAAACTCTCGCCGAAGATCTAAAACATGAGCTGAAAACTGACAGGTTAGTGAAACTAGTGGTGGTTGATTTGTTCGCTGAGCTAGGGAATCAGATTGGATACCAGAAATTATCACGCTCAATCGCTTCAAGTCACTTCAGGGTGACATTCCCATAATTACCGGTACGTCATTTTCCTCCACGGAAAAATAAACCGGTCCGCTACAGAGGAGAATGTTGGTCGTTAGTTTGTTCGCTGAGCAGTGCAATTTGATTCCAAACGTTTCATAACAAATCGAGATACGGAAGGGAATTTCCGGAGGCACGGTACTCTTACACGGCTGATTCGATCAACTGATGCATTGAACTGAGTCCAATTTACGCACCACTACGTGCGAAGGACCAACACTTCCACCGGAATACTCACGGAGAGCTCGGATTCACAAGCAAGGAACTGCTTGGAGTCGGATTAACAAAGGCCACCAGCGGGAACCCAAAGAGGTCACTCCAACATCAATCAGAGCGCGATGGCAGAGGAGGCCAGGCTCAAAGGTCACGTGGTCGTTGATCAATCAGGACGCAGGATAATAGGACAACCAATGGAACCGACCGACCGAACAACCAATCATGGTCGAGAGTCAACCCCGGCTAGCAGCATGTATATTAACACACACGCAACACTATTCAACGCACAACCACCAACTCATCGCTACGCTTCACCAGGCACTGATGATGTCACCTCGATTAAAGGTGGGACGTTTGCAATCAAATTGCTTGGCTCAGTGAATAAACCAACGACCATAATCCGGTCACAACGCACTGATGATGTCACCTCGATTAAAGATGGAACGTTTGCAATCAAATTGCTTGGCTTGACTATAATCCGGTCCCCCTCTCTTACTTGGTGAGGGGAGGGGAGACCGGATAAGCCTAGGTATTCCAGAATATGGTTGCATTCTTGCTTCAACATTCCGTCAAATTTGAAGCCTGCTCGGCTTGGTAACCATCAAGTCCCTCTCAGATGAACCAACGGCTGGATACGATCTAGTTCCACGAGCAAGAGTACTGCATCGTTCTTCAAACCGTCATATGTTTGTGCAGTCCACATAAGCTTATTTCAGTATACGAATAAATCTTCAGTTCCCAAACAGAAGGGATCTCAGACTTGATTCACATGACTGCAGAAGTTAAATCTGCCAGCTGGTATCGTTACGTGAAACTACCACCATGTTCATCTTCTAAATTGCTTTGTATGATGTTTTTAACAAGTGTCCGGCACCTGTTTTTTAAGTAACGCAAGTGGATCAAGAGATGGGGTACAAACAGCCAGAGGATTAGTGCAGTTATACGACATTCGCCGCTTCCAAACATCTTGTAAAGACATTGCAGAGGCCATGCCTCCCGCATGAGTTTTCGCTTCCAGTATGATTCCACCATATTGAGGTAGACAGACAACACCGGGAAAAGTGGTTCGCGAGAAAGTAACAAGAATCCGGGTATACAAGATGCCACAACTCACTACATTCGATCAATTCATCTTCTTTTTCTCGCAACGCGCGGCGTGCTTCATCTAGGCACAGCTGGAGTTGTTGTTTGGAGGCGTTCGCATCGGAAAGTTGGGAACGTAAATCTCCCGCTTGTTGTTCCACCTGGAAAAAGGAACAGCGTAGAATTTTATTCGGTCGAAAAATAGGGGGAAAAATTGAGAACCATCCCATGCATATGTTCGGTGATTGAATCTTTCAAGACCGAAGGCTGAATAAAAGTTCTTTTTTTCAATCTGAACCCGGGGAAAGCAGTGTATGGTTGGTTTCCAGAGCGGTCAGTGCGTGGTAAATCAGTGGTCCTGTGTCGACCAGAAGCTGGTTGATTTTGACGTGATTATGCAGCTTGAATGTTGCAGTGACTCGGAAGAACATGCTACCTGGAACTTCGTTCGACAAGATCCAATTACGACAGAAAGCCGCGCAATACTCATGTCTGGAGGCAATGCCTCAAAGTTCAGTAGAATAGGAGTACGAAGGCAGTCCGAGTGACCAAGATCTCCGCATTGATGAAACCAGTGATGCTGTCATTTCACGAAGAAGGAAGAATGTGAAAATGTCGAACCTGACTCGTCTTCTAATCGCTAAAAGATTGACTACGACCCTCGGTGAATTACCCGATACGGGAGAAAAACAACCAAAACCTAACAAGAGCTCGAGGCGGCTTCGAACACGTCCGTCTTGTAGTACCAGGGGTGTGGCGTCCATACCCTAGTCCCCACACACTCAAACTG